ATACACAAAATCTAGTTGTGTTGTCCTCCATGTTGATCACCTCTTGGTCTTGAAGTTGCAGCAGGGCTTCTTTCAGGGGATAGTTGACTCTGTTATTTATTTCTGGCCATATTCGCTCAACTTTGAGGTTCTGTGGATACAGTATCATACTATTTATTTTATTGTGTAAAGAAATGATGGACTTCAGGTGAGGTTTTTAATGTGGCAGGAAAAACTTACCCTTGATGATTTTGTCTGTACATATGGTTGCCTGTTTATATTGTATCTGTGTCTGGACAGCAGCTCTTGGATATACAGGCACATATAGAACTCTTCCATGGTCAACCCGGATTTGATCCCACATGCCGTTTTTTGTCACAGCTTCTCTGAAAGAAAATCCAGGCTTCAAAAACTGGCAGTGCAGTTTAAATGTTCAAAACATGCTGAATTAGTTCACAATGATTCTCAATTCTAGTTAGACCAATTGACCTGGTGTCACATTTAACACCAATTTCAAATTGTTCATAAGGGCCAAAGTATTGTGATATAGTGTTTTTAATGGGTAGGGGGCCCATAGAAATATCTTGTCAGGGAGTCAAAAATGTTTCCAGTCTGTGACATCTGAAAAGTGCAGTGATGTGTTCACTCAGGTCAGGAATTGAGAACCATCGATTTAAGACTGACACACATAGAATAAATGTTAATGGGGCATGTATTAACCTGTAAACTTTCTGATAGATTGTTAAGTTGTTTTTAACAGGCATGGTGTTATGAGCCACAATTTGGCTGCTGAAGCCATCTATTGCCACAACATGCGTCACTCCAAACATCACCAGCTTCTCATTTTGGTCCAAGTGTAGTTTATGTCCCATGTATTCTGCATGGTAGGGGACTGGATTCAGATTGCGTACACCCTAATAGTTCACAAAACAAGCTGTTATAACAGAACTGCCACTGCATTTCAGACTCACTCAGGAATAATCAATAATAATACTATTTAATTAATAAACTTTCACTTAAAATGATTAGACAACTGTATTAAATAACTCAGTTAAAGGCCTTAAAGACCTACCGTATGTCGCAATTCATGGTATGGTGGATGAACCAGTCGTAGTGCTTTACCGACCCGAACTTCACCTGCACGTATGCCTTTTGATGACAGATAACCTGTCATAAATGTGCGCCCAAATGTTGGCCCCACCTGTTGAACAAAGAAGAAAATGTTGTTTTTATGATATAACTCATTAGTATGCATTATACTAATTGTGTGTGTGTGTGTGCGTGTGTGTGTGTGTACTGGTATTCCCAAAGTTAAAGGGGGAGAATATAGTACAGTATAAAAACGATTACGCATGGACAGTCCCCTTAATGATAGGTGTGTGTGTGTGTGTGTGTGTGTGTGTGTGTGTGTTTACAAAGAGTGTTACATATACATCTGAGATTACATGTCATGCCAGATCTTCTCATTAATCCTGGCAAAGATGTACAATAAATGCAAATGCGAAAGGAAGACACAATCATTATCAGTAATAACAAATATATTTGCTTTTGCAGGCTGAATATTTTTGTGCTGCATTCATAACAAATGTCCCCTTACATAACATGAATAAACATGAATAATAAACTTAAAAAATAGTTCATAAACTTACCTCATTTATAGCGCTGGCCACTGCCAGCTCTAGATGACTATCATCAACGTGGCTGCGTCTTTTCACGTTGTGTTCTTTGCAAAATCTGCGAACACTCCTTGCAGAGCATTTTTGTACACCCATTTGGGATAGGTGCGCAGAAATATTTTCATTAGTCATATGATCATCAATCATGTTGACGATCACATCTGCGTGCCTTGCTAAAGATGCCATTGTAATAATTTTGCCGCGTCTTTGCTCCCCCTGCCGTTGACCTTTGCAAATGCTGATGAAAAAAGGTAGCTCCGTCGTGGAAAATGTAGCTTTTTAAGATTTTGTTTATTTCATTTTTCACAATTTAGTTTTAAGAAGTAAGATTGAGAAACGAAATATAGGAAAATGTATTAATTCCTTCTTTTTAAAATCCGTCTTCTTTTTTCTTCATTTTATGACGGATATAATAAATTGAAAAACGATTACATTTTTCGTTTTCTGTTTTTTAATTGAAAACGGATTTGGAATGGACGGAAGATACCCTGATTTATTTCATATTCTTATTCCCCATTTTTAATTTGTGCATAGAAACGAAAATATGAATATCAAGTCGTTATTTGTTTTTCGTTTTGGTTTTGTAAAGAAATTATGAAATAAGTTGGTTTCCTTATTTCCGATTGTGGATTCTTAATTAAAAATTAATCGAACGAATGATACATGGATTACATGGGGTCCGTGTATCTTTTGGTCATTTGATTTTTTGTTTAATATTGAAAGTAGAAAAATGAGAAATGCCTCCTTTTTTCGTTTTTTTCATCTTTTGCAAAAAACGAAAAACAAGAATTCGGCTTAATTTTTCGTTTTTCGTTCAGGGGTAGAAAAATGAATAAACAGCTTGAATATTCAATTTCTACACGTGGGCGGGAATTAAACGCCCCTTTCTGCTGATTAGTCAGACAAAAAAAAATCAAACCGTGCCGTCATCAGTTATTGCAGTTCCGCGCGGCAGAATACAAGTCCTCTGCTGCTGCAGTTGTACAGATTCTTAAACCATTTTATTGCAACTACATTTAATCTTTTTCTCATCAAACAACCAGACAAATGAATGGCTCGACACAACCCGTTCTGTGGCACAGCCTAGACAGGGCTTTCTTCTGTCTAGATATAAATTCTATGCTTTGCATCAGCTGGGCATGCCAGGGTATATGACAGCTGTCATAGCCTACCCTGGTCCCCCAGTAAGTTTGTTTGTTTAATTAAGTAATTAATTAATTAATTTGTTTCAAAGTAAATATTTTACACACTAATACAAAAAGGAAAGAATAATACTTTGGCTTGGGTATATACAGAGCTGGGTAGATTACTTACAAATTGTAATCCTCCAAATTACACAAATTACATGACAAAAAATGTAGTCAGTAACGTAATCCATTACATTACACATTTTAGGTAGATTACTTTGATTACTTTTTGATTACTTTTAGATTAATGTTGACCTAACTAGTTTATAACTGATTTAAACTGATTTAATCTTGTACCATAATGATTTAAAAATACAAATAGTGAGAAAATATATTCCTTTCATTGTAATTAACAACATGAAGTACATTAAACATTATTACGTCAGGGTTTCCCAAATTGGGGTTCGTAAATGAACTGCAGGGGGTGTGTGAGTTTAATGAAAGGCTAACAAGTAATGTAAATGTAAAAAATTAAAATAAATCATACACTTACTAAAAAAAGATGAAATATTTTGTTTACCTTCATGCCATATGACCATTCACCAATTTCAGAGAACCATGAACATGCAAATGTGATACTTAATTATTAAAATATTTATTTTAAAATCTCAGGGGTACTTAAAGGATCACTGATTATGATTTCACTTTTTTAACTTTAGTGTGTTAATGTTGCTGTTTGTGAATAAAAAACATCTGCAAAGTTACGATGCTCAAAGTTCAATGCAAAGGGAGTTATTGTCTTTTACAGAATTGCTGATTGACCACCCCCTTTAAAGTAAATATGTTAGGTGAAAGAGGTTCAGAGGACAAAGAGTTTGAGTGTCTGCAAATAAAAAAAAAAAATCGAGAATTTGTGTATTTTAATGAGTTTGAAAGACAAAAGCTTTTCAATAATACATGGTTAAATAACCTACTGAGTGATCATTCAAATAAAAATGAATGTGTTCATCAGTAGTTGATGCAATGTTGAAACACTTCTTAAACCTGAAATGATTTTTGTAAATCCATTGGTCAAATGCTGTGTAGCCACCGGACTAATGACTGATCTCTGTGCGAATGTCCACAAAACTGGAAAACTTTCTGAGTGTATATAAGCGGTAGACTATTTTAGAAAGGAACATTTAAAAGATAAAAAAGAGGAATTGGAGAGAATCAATAAATGATGAATAATTTATTTCTATTGTGTGAATAATATGTAATCATGTTATCTATAAAAAAGTAACTGTAGTCTGATTAAGAGTATTTTAAAATGTAATTTACTCTAATTACAAGTGCTTAATTTTTGGAATCTGATTATGTAGCCTAATCCAGATTACACGTAATCAGTTACTACCAAGATCTGGGTAGGCTATATAATAGGCCTATATAACGTTCACACAGGAACTATCATTCTGACTGACAACAGGAGAACAACAGAGATATTAAAATACATACTCTTCTGAGTTTTATAATGTAGTCTTTTGTTTTATTAAAATTAAAAATGATTGATATCTCAAAAGAACATTCACTTGTGCGCGGCGTGAGCTCCTGTGCACTCGCACATAGGAATATGATTTACATAAATGTAATTACTTGCCATTTTGGTTTGCTTCTCACCAAACCTTACAGTATACCTTCAGAACGTTTGGAATATAGCCTACGCCATGAGATGCATATGATTATTTTATGACAGATTTGCATCTGCTTAAAGAATGAAAAGTGAAACTCACCATTCTCTGGCATTTAAATGGGTAAGTGCGAGCAGGACATTTTTTGTGTGTTTCGAAAAAAAGAAGGTAGGCCTAATAAACAGTGCCCATTTTACTTACTCAGACCATGCGTTATTTATTTGTTCAGTGAAATTATCAACGTGGTCTGGTGAAAGACGGGACCTGAGGCGATTAACAATAAAATTCCTGCACTTGAAAAAACGCGCTCGGCTGGAACTGAAGTCGCAGGCACGCAGACATAACGAAAAGCAAGCCGATAGAGTTTCAAAAAGCGCCTGGACATCCCGCACCATCACCGAAGTGGGTGTTCGTTAGAGGAATAGACGGCGCGAATGGGATCGCAGCGGCTGCGGGTTGTAGTGAATGACGTGATTGACATTTGCTGGCTTTGGCCAGCCTCTAAGCTAGCGCCTACGTGCCTGTATTGAATATGATTACACATCGCTCCAGTAGAGTTATTGTAAGACAATTTGACATTACACAGTTTACACAAAACTTTTCTGTTTCCTTCTAATTCAAAATGATCCCACACCTTCTCGTCTTTCGCATGGTCATTTTTTGAACTCGCCGCAACTGACACGAAGAAAACACATGTGAGGAGCCTGTTTGTTTGATGAAAAAATATTAAATGTAGTTGCAATAAATGCGTTAATCCATACAACTGCAGCAGTGGAGGACTATTATTCTGCTGCGTGATACTGCGGAAGGACTGATGAAGGCACGGTTTGAACTTCGGCTGACCAATCAGCAGAAAGGGGCGTTTAATTCCCGCCCACATGTAGAAATTGAATATTCAAGCTGTTTATTCATTTTTCCACCCATGAACGAAAAATTAAAACTTAAGCTGAATTCTTGTTTTACGTTTTTTGGAAAAAAATGAAAAAACGAAAAAGGAGCCATTTTCTAATTTTTCTACTTTCAATATTAAATCAAAAAACGAATGATCAAATGATACACGGATTATACACGGACCCTTCTTGCTGTCGCTATGGCAAATATCAGCTGCTTTGTTTAAAAAAAACGTACATTAAAGCTGAAATACAGACTGAACGATGAAAACAGTAACGTACAATCACTAGACTAGTGATCATCAAATCCTTTTAACAGTTTATTTTACAGACTTCATTTTAAAGTCTTTTCTTTTTTCACAAAACCTTTTGCTCTCTAGAAACCATGTCAGTTTCGGTTGAAAATATTTTGTTCAAGTGTTAGCATTATAAACTAAATAAAGAATTAATACCAACATATGAAATTAAATGAATGACAGAAAAATTAGGAATTTTGGACAAAATATATAACAGGAATATAACAGCTTGACAGTAAACTGTTTTTGCAGTATTTTCTTATACTAATGTCCGTTAAAGAAAGACTGTAAACAAACAAACAAAAAAAGTAAAAAAAAAACAAAAAACACATGTACAGCCACTTTCTCCAAAATTGTTTAATTATTTAATTATGACAGAGACACAGCAATGCATCATGTTCTAATCTATATAATCATGTTTGTAGTGTGTTTCAGGGGATTAAAACGTACAATATATATTTCAGACCTAGTGGCGTAATAGTAGGCTAAATAATAATATAGTAAGTAATTGTAAATGTGTAAAGTTGCATAAGCTCATTATTTAGTGTCATATCCATATAAATCATTATTATGTTTTCTATGGCTAGGACATGCAGTTCCTAAAAGGATTTTAAGTTTACTACTAGACAAAAAAAGTTAAAGTTAGCAGGTGCATAAGACGTCCCATTTCAAAACACACAATATTTTTACGCTTTTGTGAATAATTACCTGTCAGGGTCTTTGGGAAAATGATGAAAGGCAAGATTTTTACTGTCACACTGATAGTTTTTGCAGTGGATTGCCCAACATTGCGTTCTTTTATTCCACTATGACCTCTCTCTTGTTATTATTCTGTCTATTTCTGTGTATCTGTGCTGTTATCCAGTTGGAATTTTCACCTCAAAATGGCAGCCGCGCTACCGAAGCGCCACCTAGTAGCTGTTACCCAAAAAGCAAAGAGTTTCGCCTCTTGGTACGCAAATTTCGGACTTGCATCCTCGTTAGTTCGGACTTCGCAAGTTTGACTCGGGAGTGTGAACTCTCGCGGACGGGATGGTAATTCTGGTAATTCTGCAAAAAGCATAACGTCAGTCAGCTCGCCTTGACTACTGCAATTTTCCTCGCTGTATTTACAATAAGATGAAATATGATGTCAAACACCATTGCCTCTTTTTGTTTTCATTTAAACATATTAATAGCCGCAGAAATGTAGTTCAGGGAACGTACATTACAATGAAACGAAATATTATATCAAACAGTATTGCCTCTTTTCACTTTCATTTTAACATATTAATAGATTAACACAGGGCTTCAAGTTCTCCGGCACCGTGCCGGATCTCCGACCTGCAGCGTTTGGCTGCGGGAAAAAAAGATAGTCGTCCTACATTTAAAAACACTTGTTTATCACATTCGAGTTCATGAGTTCGCTTACCAATGTATGAGAGGAACACAGCTTTCACTCTCAGCCAAACTGACCGA